TGTGTAATGAAAGCCGAGCATTGATCAAGGAGAATGTCTTGGCATAAATCAGGGACTCTGTTCTTTACAAAGTTAAATCTGTTTGACTACTCTCACGGAATAGCTCAATGAGTTTGTTCCACATTTTGATCCTCAAAGCAGAAGCTTCATCGGGTTTAAACCACTTCTTGTGAATCTGAAAAAACAGGATAACAATCTGTGTCAAACAACAATGTTTAGAAGAGAGGAGTAAATAACAAAGAAACGCACCATTCCCAAATCCTGCAGTGTCAACCTCTGAGGAGCATCTTCGATGAACCGTTGTATGAAGAAGAGCACAAACAGACCACAGTCGAAATCATTCTTTTGCTGTGGAACCTGTTGAAATGGTGAAACGATATTAAGATGAAAGACTACAATTTATCTTTAAAAATAACACTCATATAATTTGTAACTTAAAAGATGGTAAAAAGACTAACCTTCACTTCAGCTTCGTTGATCCTATCTGGAAGGTCTCTCCATATCTTTTCTGAGATTGGTAAATCCGGTAAAGAAGTGTCTTGATTCAGGTAACTCCATTCCTCTATCAAAAACCTAAATCAAAACCATAAATGAAAACAAACAGAATCTAGTGAAGCTGGCCTCAACATTTAGAAACTGTATGCAATGATTCCTCTACTCTCACCTTTTGACGTTACTAAAAATCAATTTGGTTGGGTGAAGTCCCAATGAATCCAAGTGGAGTATAGTCAAGCCTGACTCGTCCTCCTTGTCTGGGATGCAAATGATTACCAAGCTCCAGTGTAGACTGAACATGCAAGTGAACAAATTATTACGCAATCAAAGAACATACTGAGATGCGGTAACTCTGATCTAAAATAGCACTTTCTTACATAATATATGCCTAATTATCATGCCCAAAAAGATGCAATCAAGGGGGAATCAATAGACAACAGTCAAGGAAATTACTTACTCCTCATGAATTGGTATAAATATATATGATTTACGGAATAGATCAAAACCTTTCCACCACCGTCTCAACTTCACAAAAGATGCCTCCTTGTCGTTACCCTACTTATATTGAAAAGACAAGACGAAAATATCGAATAAGTAGCCAAAAAGAAAAATATGTGAATTACAATATTCAACCTTTTATGGTAAAACAATTGAAACTTCAGGACAAGAGAAAACCACCTTGTATGAAACAGCTTCAATGAGTTTCTTGTAAAAAAATGTGTTAAAGAAATGGTAATCAGCAGCTGCTTGATTACCTGCAAACACATGGTGCTGCAAGAACCTAGCCAAACAGAAGGTAGAATAATCACATAAAAGCGAATAACACGAGATTGATAATTTAAATATGTGAAGTCCTTCATTCAAAAGTCACCTGATGTAGAAATTTATAACTGGAGATGTAAGACATTCTCGAGGTGAAAGGCATTTAAGATCATCAAGAGCAACTTGAACAAGGTCTGGGTCATCCCTTGATAATGAAAAACAAACAGGTTATCACATTGAAGATTAAAGTAAGCAAACCTACACCAACTACATGAAAACCTTTTTACCAACCTTGATGGGTAGCAAATATCTTCCGGTAACCTACAGATTTCACCAAAACAACCAAGTTACTTCCAACAAGAATCACAGTCACTCGATGAAAGGCAAAACAGAAACAACTCTTTTTTTACCCTTCAGGAAGTTCAAGTGCTTCCTCTACTACCACTGGAGACTCAGGTTCCTCTTCATCCAAATTGATTACTTTATCATCTGATGTCTACAGCAAAAAGTGTCAGCTAAGCTCGATTTATATTAATAAAGTACAAAATGTATGGAATAAGATGAGATACCTTCCTGCGACTTGACCTCTGTGATAGAGATGCTTTACAACTCAACTCCCTGTGAAAGGAAGAAAAAGACGTCAAATACTCAAAGTTCTCTTCAGAACAATCGTTTTGTTTCGAAAATTGAAACTTTGCAAAGGACAATTGATAATCCCAAACTTGAATAAACATGCAAAACAATCTACAACACAGTAGAATAGAGAAAAGATATGAACCTAGGAGTATCATAGCCAACAACGTCGTCTTCATCATCATCATCATCGACGAGCAAGTAAGGGGAAGATTCCTCTATCTTTCTTTTTCTATTTACAGAACCTTCATCGAGTTTGCCATTCCCTTTTGGATCCTTAAATCCAGAATAAAAGTTTGTTTCACCGATCTGACACTTTCCTAGTCTCGGCATTGACCGCCACCCACTGCTTTGCTTTGTTGCCGTCTCTCCAACATCCTTTCTTCTCCAGCTTTCACGTCCCAAACCTTGTACTTCTTCATTAAACAGTTTCACTGGTCTAGCCTCCACCTGTTACAAAAAAAAAAAAATCAGGTCTTGAAACCGTGAAGCAACAAAACTAAAACACCACAGAGGATGTTAAAATGTTAAACAGCATCATACTTTGAGATTGACACTGAAATGAGAAACAAATGTTGACCGAGACACCTCTTTCGATCCTGTAGCTGTATTCCCTTGCTTAGACAGATCTTTAATAACAAGTTTAACATGTTAGAAATCGAACTTTAACACTCTTCATTAACATTAACAAGTCTCAAAAAAAAAAATAACCTGAGCTTTTTGGTTGCACGAGAATCTGACATTCATCCGTATCCTGACAAAAACCAATGAAAGTGACATCAAACACTAAAGGTTGCTCTAATGGTTACACAGACACGTAAAATTACAAAAAGGTTTCATTTTTTTTTTGAGTCACAAATCATGCGGCAGTGGTTACACAAACACGAACATTTACTCTAATTAATAAAAACAAAACACTAAAAATTGCTCCAATGGTTACACAGACACGAACATTACAAAAAAAGGTTTCATTATTTTGACTCACAAATCATGCGGCAATGGTTACACAAACACGAACATTTACTCTAATTTAATTAATAAAGACAAAAAAAAACTAAAAGATGCTCTAATGATAACACAAACACACGGACCGTTTTTGAGTCATAAATCAATTGAAAGTACAAAGGACAAACCGTTTTGGCGCGGAGGAGCAACCTTCGCTGCTTCTCGTACTCGAGGCTACCGATTCTGGAGCGGATTCTCTGGCCATTATCTGGTAACCTGACACCGAAAGAAGCAAGGAGTGATCTCTGACGGTTAAGATGATCGTCGAGCTCGTAATCCTTGAGGGATTTCACGCAGATTGAGGAATCATCGCCGGCGGAGAGAGTAGGCTCGTGCGGAGGAGTTTTTTCGACGATCTCCAAGTCGGGGACTTCGTCATCGACCAAAACGTTGTCCCAATCTATGTTGAAGTTCTTCGTCGGCGTCTCGGCACGATCTAACTCGATTACTTTTTGCCTCTTCATCTCTTCATCTAAATTAAAAAGAAAAACCCTTGTTTTAGACTCTCTTTGGTCGGAATCTCTTGGTTTTGTCTTTTGGATCAGTCTATATACTTCGATTCTCAAACGTCTCGTATGCTAATGAAAAAATATAATAATAACAATTACAAAAACAATTGGGCTTTTCACTCAAACACAAATAAACAAATGGCACAAAAAGCCCAAATTCTATCTCTAATATCCTCAGAATCTTTTTACTTAATCTCAACTAGGTGTTTTGCCCGCACTTGCGGGCTTAATAATTTTCTAATATCTATAAACAAATATAATCAATTTAAGTAAATTATAATAAATTATTCTTCATACACTCAAAATATTTAATAACAATCTAAACAAATTCTTTCTATATATAAAATTTTTATCATCATATAAATAATTGTCATTACATAAATTAAATGTGAAAATACTCATAAATTTAAAATATTTAGTAATAAATTAATATCATTTTTATACATAACAAAAAGTATAATAAAATTATCTTTAGTAATGTAAACTATCTATACATAAATTCTTTGCGAATTAATTTTTTCATAATTAAAATATAATTATTTTTCAAGGTTAATAAAGATTTATAACAGAATATAAAAAATTAGATGATGATAATTATCAAATTCCTAAAATTCTTTTTTAATTTAGAATTAATTATATATTAATAAATATTATTATTTTAAATATAATTATTTTTCACTGTTGATAAATACATAATATAAAAACAAAAAAAGGATGATTATCAAATAAATGAAATTCATTTTTAATTTATAATTAATGATATATTACTAAAAATATAATTATATTTCAAGGTTAATAAAGATTTTATAACGCAGTATAAAATAGTTTTAGATAAAGATAAATCCAAAATCATTGAAACTCGTTTTTTACTTATGTTTAAGTATATACTAAGTGTTTTGCCCGCACATGCGAGCTTAATTATCTTTAAATCTATTTAAAAATCATCAAAATAAATGATATTTGCATCCGAAAAAATTAACCTAAAGCATTATTTTTTTACATGATAAATTATTCACAAATTAAAAAATATAATTCTTCCTTTCAAACTTTTAAAAAAATCTAAAGTCTATTTCCTTTCTTCTTGAATAATAAAAATATATAAATCTATTTTTCAATTTGAAAAATTGAATCGATAAATATACATTCAAAAATTGATCTTACAAAAAGAATAATATTAGTTTAGATAATATTACAATTAAAATTTATTTTTGCCAAACACGTTTTTTTTTGTTTTGAATGATTTTTTATTTTATTATGATAAATTCATGTTTAAGGATTACTTATATATAAAAATATAAAAAATAAATTTAGTTTAACGTGTGAGCCCAGAAGCGGAAATAACTTCACAAATATATATATATATATATATATATATATATCATTATATTATAATCTTTTAATTTGAAAATAATTATGTATTATAATTTTTAAAAAATTTCTTATTTTCAATTATATACAATTCAAGTTTTTACTTAATTAATATTTATTTATGTGTTTTATCTTTTTGAAAATTTTTTATTAAATATATTTTCCGGATAAAACCACAATATATATAGGAATTATCTTTTTATTTTTAAATATATATTTAGATAATGGATAATTCTTATCATTATTATTAATTTAAATCATTTTCCTAGTCAAATAAATATTAAATTCGTTTTTATTATTGGCTGATTTATATATTTATTCATTAAGGGTAATATCGATATTAACCACTCTAACTTTTAACGTGAGAGCTTCGTTGCGAAAAATCACTTCGCAAATAATAGTATAGATTGAAAATTTTAATTATTATATAGTAATAAATCTGTTTTTGGTCAAATAGTAATAATAATTAGTCATTATATAGTAACAAATCTAATTAGTCAATAAGTTTATGTTTGCTTTTTCATTAAGGGTAGTAAAAATCATAAGAACATGACAATTAGATTTACTATCCTTAATGGGAAAGCAAACATAAACTTAATGACTAATTAGATTTATTACTATATAATAAATAATTAGATTTATTATAATCATTAGTCTAGATAATGATAATCATTAAATCATAAGAAACATGACAAATAAGATTTGTTTATAACTATTAAATAGTAATAGATCTAATTAGTCATTATATAGTAATAAATCCAATTAGTCATTAAGTTTACGTTTTGCTTTGTCATTAAGGGTTTATTGTTTATTAATATCAACTATTTTTAGATAATAATAGTCATCAAATTAGTGAAATTTATTTATAATTTATGGTTGATTATATATTAATTAAATATATTTTTTCTGATAACAACATAATATATATATATATGAATTATCTTTTTATTTTATTTTTAAATATACATCTAGATTATGGATAATTATTATCATTATTATTAATTTAAATCATTTATCTAATCAAAAAATATATATTCATTTTTTTATTTTGGGATGATTTATATATTTTATTCATTAAGGGTATAAACGATATTAATCACTCCAACTTTTAACGTAGGAGCTCCCTTGCGAAAAATTACTTCGCAAATAATAGTATAGATAGATCTAATTAGTCATTATCCCTTATATACTAAATCGCAAGTCGCTTGGCGAATCATATTCTGCCACGTAAGAAATGTGCAAATTTCTTTTTCAAAAAATATCAATGAAAACAAGATAATTACTAAAAGAGAAAAGCATGATTCGTATGACAGTTACTTAAAAGTACACACGATCTTTTCTTGCCCACGATTATTTTTCCAATCTCTTATAAGTTATACAAATTTCTCTTAGTTCAGTTAAAATATCAGAGAAACCCCGATCAGTCAAGAAACAGAATGTGAAAGATCTTTTCTCTTTCATCAATTTCAATATCATAATTTTTAGTTGAGGTCATATTGAATCTCGATCAGTTCTGAGATCAATTTCTAAGTATAAATCTCAACAACCTATATTTCCCCATCACGCTATCTACCTCTTTTGCACAGTTTCGTTGACTATGGCGGAGCATGACATTACTTTATTGGAACCAGTTTATGACTATGAAAGTTCGAGAAATAGAGTACATGGTGATCCAAATAGCTGTAGATTCGACTTGAACAAGAAACTTTATTATGAGAAGAAAGAGAAAGAAAGATGAGGAAGATAGATGTCACCCATGAATACTGATGCACACGTTGGTAGAATCAGAAGAAGGGTTTTTAACAAAAGGTAAATACTCTTTGTGTTTCTACTTAAATATATTTATGCATATTAAATTATTAACTTTAGAGAACGAAACATATTTTCCAGAAAAAGATCTGAAACATGGAAAAAACATTACGTGTTCTTCAAAATACTGTGCAACTATCCACTTATGTTTATAAATATTTTACTATGAATTTCAAATTAACATGTCAAATATATAATCTGTCGTGACCGTATAACTTTGGTCATATGTATTCAAAAGGTATAGTAACATACATTAAATAGTGACGATCACATATTATCTTTAACAAAATAAAGATCACATATTCTCTTTAACAAAAGAAAAAAGATCACATATTCTCAAATTAAAAACTTTAATAATATAAGTATTTTCCATTACGTTATTGTGAGTATTACTTCTAAATTTGTTTTTGTGAGATGATATTTCTCTAATCCATGCTGGTTTTTACTGTTTCATTGGGTTTGTAATATTATTTTCGGTTGTAGATGAGGATGCTTAATGAGTTAATAGATGCAATACGTAAAAACATAGATTGTTGATAAAAGAATAAAAGAACAAAACAAAGTAAAACATGAAAGCTTTAAATTAATATTCATATTTTCAACACTGTTTAAGATCATCAATGTCATTTTTTTTTGCAACAATACAAACTTAATAAATGTTTGTGATTAATTAATGATGAGAGTTTTAATTTTTTTTATGCATTTCATTCTGTTAAAACAAAGTTAATTTATACATGTCTATTTTAGCTAATCAAAATATGATATTCGCAAGCATAAATATGCCCATGCAAAGCATGGGATTAATACTAGTATAGTAATAAATCCAGTTAGTCATTAAGTTTACGTTTTGCTTTGTCATTAAGGGTTTATGGTTTATTAATATCATCTATTTTTAGATAATAATAGTCATCAAATTAGTGAAATTTATTTATAATTTATGGTTGATTATATATTAATTAAATATATTTTTCTGATAACAACATAATATATATATATGAATTATCTTTTTATTTTATTTTTAAATATACATCTAGATTATGGATAACTCTTATCACTATTATTAATTTAAATCATTTATCTAATCAAAAAATATATTTTTTTTTATTTTGGGCTGATTTATATATTTTATTCATTAAGGGTATAAACGATATTAATCACTCCAACTTTTAACATGGGAGCTCCGTTGCGAAAAATCAATTCGCAAATAATAGTATAGATAGATCTAATTAATCATTATATAGTAATAAATCCAGTTAGTCATTAAGTTTATGTTTTGCTTTGTCATTAAGGGTTTATGGTTTATTAATATCAACTATTTTTAGATAATAATAGTCATCAAATCAGTGAAATTTGTTTCTAATTTATGGTTGACTATATATTAATTAAATATATTTTTCTGATAACAAAATAATATATATATGAATTATCTTTTTATTTTATTTTTAAATATACATATAGATTATGGATAATTATTATCATTATTATTAATTTAAATCATTTATCTAATCAAAAAATATATATTCATTTTTTTTTATTTTGGGCTGATTTATATATTTTATTCATTAAGGGTATAAACGATATTAACCACTCCAACTTTTAATGTGGGAGCTCCGTTGCGAAAAATCACTTTGCAAATAATAGTATAGATTGTATATCATTCACTGATAAATTTAAATTTTATACCATCCACTGATAAATTTAAATTGAATAAATTTGATGATAATTTGAGCAATTCCCCTCCAATTTTCTCCACTCCACTGAAATAGCTTTTGTATGAAAATTCATTTATTTCCAGTAAAATATAGTAATTACATTATGGACATATAGCTTCTTCTTAAAAAAAACAGAAGCTCATTTCAATCCCCCAATTAGCTCTTTGGATTTTTAAATATACCTCTGAGCTAATAAAATACCAAACCCCTTTACGTATGAAAATAAATAAATACAACCTAAATAATTGATTTTTTTTTTCTTTTGGTAAATAACCCTTTCAAATATTCAAGAGTTAAGTACCAAAAAATCACCATGCGTGGATGAACCGTCCTTGAAAACTCGGTTCAACCGAACCGGTTTTCCTCTCCTGGTACTCATGAATCATCCTGATAAGCGCACTAGCTTTCTTGCTCCCTCCACACTCGCCGTTACCTAACACCGTGTAAAGCGACCCCATAACCACCGAGTCCTTCACAAGAGCCCCAACGACGTCTCTCCCGCCGTTAAGACACAAGTTCAAAACCAGAGCAACACAGTGCTGTTTCACCGCATGCGAGACTCCCGACGAACACAAAATCTTCACCGCGAGTTTCAACCCTCCGCGACGGATCACACCAATCGTCCCGTCGGGATACTCAGCCAACTTCGCCAGCGTCGCTAAGCAATCCGCCGTGAGCTCTTCCCCCGTTGCCTCATCTCTCAGCAGATCAAGAAGAGAGGGAACAGCTCCAGCGGCGAGGACACGCCAGTGGTTCTCTGATTGCATCAGCAAACCCATAACCGCAAGCAACGCGTTGCGTTTCGCGGAATCTCCATACTCTTCCCCTTTGACGATTCTCATCAGTCCAGGAATCGCATTTGCGTTTTCCCCGATTAATAAGCTGTAATCTTGAACGGAAGAAAGATAAAACAGAGTAGAAGCAGCGTATAGTCTCGTCTCTGTTTTAGCTCCTTCGTTGAGAATCTCCACTATGAGCCCTAACCCTTCTCCTACGATCTCACCTTTGCCATCAACGTGTTTAGAGAGATTCAAAATCCCAGCCATTGCGTTCTCTTGAATCTTTGAGTCTTCTGAAGTCAGAAGGTTTAAAAGCGGACTCACACAACCAGCTTCGACCAGACAAGATCTATTAAAACTACCTGTCTTGGTCAAAACACGGATCTCTCTAAGAGCTCTGTAAATCACCTCTTCGTCGCCGTTTGTTAGCTCTGTAGTGAGAAACCTCGCGATGAGTCTCCCCGCTCCTTTCGCAGCTAAACTCTCCGGCGCCATGTCACCGTGACTTTTTCTTTTCCGACCGTTTATTGCCAAAACGACGCCGTTTGCTTTACAGTGCTTTTGAATTACTTGACTCACGGAAACGTTGTCAACCAACTCGGTACTGGTCAGAATCTTTCCGGTTTTGGGGCACGTGATGTTCCCGGATCCGAACCATTTGGTGATGGAGCTCCGATCGTACGTGTGCCCTGTTTCTATGACCACAGGATCCGTCATGATCTCTAGAGAGATCGGACAAAGAAGATCCTCAACTTTTAATCCTCGTATCAAGTCTTCATGGACACGGTCCTCACGATGATCTCTATCGATACGTTTAAGTGTCACGCATCTGCAATAACATATGAATCCCATCAAGCTGCTGAGAAGCTCGACTCTAGCGTTACTATTATTCATCTTCTTATTCTCTAACCGCTCCGCCTCTATCTCTTCTCCGAGAAAGTTGATCTCCTTAACGCAATCTCCCCACGTTCGGATCCCTACGTGATCCAAGATCCGATTTATTTCATCCGGATCAGGGGTCACTCTGTTCTCAAACAGAGAAAGGACTCTATTAACCGAAGTTATAACCCTTTTATCGTCTGAGTCGGGTCGGACTACGTGTTTACGGGCTTGTTGCACCACTAGGTCAATCACCTCGTTGACTTCGCTCGGTAAGTCAACGAATGAGCCAGGAAACGTGCTGAGGCTAGTGGAAATGGACTGAGTCAGGACACGAAGATGGTCCGAGACTTGATCTGAGCTCATAAGCATAAATATTCTAGCTCCGTCTCTTGTGCAGTCTTCTAGAAGGAACTTGAGCTTCTGGAGGATGACGTGGATTTCCGAGAGGCTCGAGACGGCGGTTGAGTGGGGAAAGTAGCGTCTTGGGGACCCGACTCGGATCCGGATCTCTTCCAAGACGATAGCTAGGTTTTGGATCTGCCTGATGGTTTTTTGGAAGGTTTGTTTGTTGCTGGAGAAGTGTTTCTGCTTGAACGTGACGATGTCGCCGGCGAGTTGAATCAGTGAGTCGAGTAGCGTGGTTATGGAGATTGATTTGCATGGTTGCACAGCCGGAAATGTCAGGATCCGGCGACTTGACCCAGTTTTATTGTGGATCATATTTGTCTATATGACTTGTGATTCAAACTTTTGGATGCTTGTGTTTGTTTTCGACTTTAGATCGAGAAAGTAGGCGTAAATATATAAACAGTTGGCAAGCGTTTCAACTAGTTAGACGCGTGGCGCTTTACTATTGGGTGTTTTTCTTGGAAACCCTGACCATTGACAGTGTGCCACGTGAGATCCATCGTAAACGAGGAACAGGTTGCTTCGTAGATCGGTTTATATGAGCTGAGAGATCGACACGTGGGCATGGAGTGTATGAAGATCCACGTGATCGTGAAGTTACGTGCATGGAGGCTGCCGACAATTTGTACGACCCATGTGTAAGGGACTTCTAGGAGTTGGGATATTTCCTCGTTCTAATTTTTCATTATTTTCATAAACTAAAGTATTTAATGCGGTATTAAAGATTGATTGGTGCTATGTTTACGGTAACCGATGCCATCTTATCTGATAACTCGTACGGAATTGATATGAAAAAGTATAAAGTATACATGAATATAATCTTTTTATGTATAAGTTTTCTGCTCTTGTACTCTATTCTCAAGGAAAATGTGCAAATAAGATGATGTTTTCTACCCTTCTTTGAATTGTAGAAGGCAATATTGTTCATAGTCCTTACGCAAAGATAACCATTAATCATTAGTTTTGGCATTACCCGTTACAAATTCGAATGATTGCCTATATGTGGAAGTTTCGTCACCTTCAATTCATTTTCTAATTTAATGATTGATGGTGATAGTCTTTTAGTTTTGGAATCTTATTACCTGAGAGTGAAGATGCTTTAAATACGGATATGTTCAGGTTATCTTTAATTTATCAGTTATGGGTTGTCGATTGTGAGGAGTTGTTATAATACTTGGGAACAATGGCCGGTTGCATTCTGGACCCATTTAAAAAAAAAAAAAAGTCAAAGTCCACCATTCATCAATTATGGATTCGTTTTGTTTTCTGTAATATGATGCATGTTCTTTGTCACTCTTATTCATTCAGAGGGAAACTATATAATTAACACGAAGTCACGAACTAATTATTCAGAGGAAAAGTCAACCATTAGTGTTGAGCTACTTGGAACTATCATGGGAACATCATTATTTCGTCCCAATTCGTCCTGGCTGTCTCATCATTTGTCTCCACCGTTTTGTATGACCCAATTTGGTTATTGGAACAAATATAATTAGCTTTGTTCACAGCATGAACCATATTAATCTTGAATCATTTCAAGTTTACAACAAACAGATCTTAGGTATCTTCAATTCTTATTTGGTACATCAGAAGAATCCACTCAACCATACACTAATCACCTTGGGAAACAGATGAGGATACCAACGATTATATAAGAGAGGTGATAAAATACTGAAATCTGGAAAATACAGAGTTTTACAATGACAATCTATTATCTGATACATGACTGCTGAACTATGAGTTGATGATTTGAGGTTCGGGTGTTACTAATCAGTGCCGGTCCATTCTTTCCAGTCCTTGTCTACATGATCCTGAGCCCATTTGATAGCTGCACGTGCGGCTTGTGGACCTCCAGGCAGTTCCCTTTCATTAAGAGTATCAGCCATGTCGATGAAGGGTATGACCAAGAGTGTTCCAGGTCCTCCATACTCGCTACGCAAGAACGTCTCAAAGATCTGTCAACAACCACCATGGCGCAAAACAGAATACTTGAGAGTTTTTACAAAAAGCCTTAGAAACCAATAACACAGAACGAACTTATTACATTTGATATCTCGCACCAAGACCAAACTATCTTGGAGAGGTCTGGATCCGAGGTGCTAACTGGTAAAGTGACAACCATACTAACTTTTTTTTTATGAACTTTTTAGATAGGTTTAAACAGAAAACCGCTCCTCATTCTAAATAGAGTCACATAATCCTATTCAATATAGGTTTAAACGGATTCATAAGTTTCCGAAAAATGCTGCACACACACACAAATCTACACACAAAAGAGATGTCAATCATAAAACATCATAGCAATTGCAAAAGACCATTTCCTAACCATGCAAATTCAAGTTCAGGAACAAACAAAAGGCGATTTTGTAGCATTGTCATTCTCTTAATCTCTGTGTATATATGCCACAAGAAAAATAGTAAAAAAAAAAAGACACCACTTCTGAGTTCCATGAATGGGTTTCAAACACAACAATTCAACATATAATCTCACATAGAAAGGAAAGCGAGAAGATTGTGAGATATACCTCAGTGCAGACTCCGACAATCTCATCAACAGAGTCTTCAAAAAGATCCCTCTTTGATAGTTTCTTTGTCATATGGTCCCTAAATTTCTTTGTCTCCTGTACCACCACCACCCATCAATTAAATTCAGCCATCTAATGACACAACCCATCAAAATTAAGTACGAACAGAAGAAGAAGAAGTTAAAAATCAGCTCACAGCTTCGGCGAATTCGGGTATGGGATCCGGGAACTTATACTCCGCAGCTCTGCATACGAACCCTCCTCTCCGTGGCAAGGTAGAAAGAGAAAAGTTCGTCGATTTAGCTCTCAAACGCCGTTTAATAAAGTGAGTCGGTTTGATAACGCACGAACTCTCAGCTGGTGAAGAGAGATTGAAGATTGTTGGAAGAGCACAACGGATGGAAGATGAATGGAATTGAAGCCGAGAAGATAAAAGAGCTACGTTTAAAGAAGCCATTTTCCACACTTTCGCTTCTTCACTCTCTGAACCTTATCTTTTCCTACCTGAGGGTTTAAGCGGAGGTTTCAATTTGAGAAGTGAAAATAGTAGGGTCAAATTAAAAAAAAGTTTTTAAATATGTAAGCAAAGTTTAGGGGTGAAAATGTAAGAAATTAAAAGATATGAGGGAAGAAGGAGAAAAAAAAAGATTGGGAACCTATCAGACAACCGTGCGACCACCCTAGTAAGGACAAGCCAGACTAGGTAGCGATCCTCTACAGCCCGGAGTGTCCGAAGACAATCTTAACCGTTAATCACACTCAAATCGCACGGTCATTATTCATCATCAGGTTTTTAAGGTCTGTCTCCTTAGAAATCAAGGATACAGAGGTACTCCCTATAGAACAGATCCTGTTCAAGTAAGGTCGTGACCAACACTGCTTTCTAAACATATATAAAGAAGTCATATATTCTCCGTCTTTCCGATATGGGACTTTATTTCCCACACTTGACAGCCCGTCGTATGACACGTGTAATTAGTTTAATCATCAATAGCAAAACCGGACTCATAACCAGAAACCACTTCAAAACCGGATATAAACCAGACTGAAACTCTTCTTTGATATAAAATATTCAATCCGTAAACTAACCAAACAACAGAACAAATTTTGTTTCCAATTTCTCGTTTGAAGGCATTCAACACCTCAATAAAGAATGTAACAACTAAAGGTGCAAAACTTCACTTCAATGGTCTCTCTCTCTTTCTCTAGAAGAAAATCTCTACTTCCTTTTCAGTCATCTCAAGAACATGGTCTCTAGCATCCGTTAGAGCACTCTGTACAAAAAAAATAGAAGGGCTAAAGCAACCAAAATCAATTAACAAGGAGATGTATATGTTCTTACCTGTCCAAACTTGGTGATGAAGTTGTTCCCCAGGTTAATCGATGTAACTGTGACATCTTCATTAGCTTTTAGAGCTTGAGCAATGGCGAATGCTCCATCATCCTTCACACAAAACAGAATAATAAGATCATTCGGCTTACAAGGTTTTATATGAAGACACAGTGCTGAAGAACAAAATTAGTTTAGTTTCTTTTTCTTACCCGTATTTCATTGAATCCTAGATCCACAGATGTTAGAGCTTCATTAACTACTTTTAAGCTCCGAGCTAAGCAGGAAGCGCCCTGACGTATAATAATAACGCATCAATTATGAAAAGAATACCCTTCGTATATATGCAAAACAAGCTTGAATATAATATGTTTGCAGGAACCTCATCTCTAAGTCCATTTGCCCGCAAGTCCAAAACCGAGATTGTGTTGTTATATCTCAACATGTCTGCAACGTATTCAGCACCCTTAGCAGCTATCTGCACAACATGTGAATGAAAGCCAGCAATGATATAACAAAGATAAGTATTTGTGAAGAAATATAATTAAGGGCAGAGGCTTTACCTGGCACCAACCAAGTTTGAGCGTCTTCACATTTCCATGGAACTTGAGAATCTCGGATAATGCTTTAGCTCCGTCGGGTCCTATGGGATTATAACCAACCTCTAACTGAGGAAATAATGAGAATGGTCCTATCACTATCTTCCATGTTCCAAGTAAAAAAGTAAGTAAAAATATACTGACCGTCGTAACAATTGAATTATCTTTCAGAGCTTGAGCTATAGCATTAACTCCATCTGCGTGGATGTTATTTCCACCCTATTTTTTTTCAAGAAAGTTTGCATTAACATTCACAAATAGCCCGATTAAACTTAGGGAGACTGGAGAAGAAGATGGTCATTTCTCACAATGTCAATGGTTGCAATTGAACGGTTTTGCTTCAGAGCATCTGCAACCTTTTCAGCTCCCTGAACCCATTGAGAAATCATTAATATACACAACCAGAGCATATAAAAAACATGGTTATAAATAAACTGGATGTGTAAATAGTATACCTCATCGCCTATATCATTCATGTACAGATTCAACCAAACCAAGCTCTTACTTCTCTTGATGTATTCTGCTACATAGAAGGCACCCTTTGCGGTGATTGAGTTGTTACCGAGGTCAAGTAGAGCCAGTTTCCCTGCACACAAGTAGAGGTAATAAAGAGTTAATCTTGACATATGATATGAAGAGTGTTCAATTGAAACAGCTGAAACAAACAAAAAAAACCTTTGTGGGAAGATAGACCAGCCATCAAAGCACGAATCCCTTCATCTCCGATGGAGTTTCCATGCAAATGAATTTCCTGCAGAGTAGAATGGCCAATGGCTTTAACAAATTAACTCTTTGTTTCCTTCAATTGTTTCTCGTTATATACAAATGGCATACATAGAAAGAGAAATGAGGAGTATCTGTACCCGTAAAGACTTGTTACCCTCAAGTCCTTTAGCTAAAGCATTGGCACCCAAAGCACCACCATAGTTTCCACTGAAACATACCATCCATAAATCAGCAAGTCAGGGATATGAACTATAGACAAAATATATAATAAAATGAATTACAAAAATATCTATCTACGATCTTAAACTCACTTGAGATGTAAATTTCGTATTGTATTATTCTCAGGAAGAGCCCCAGCGAGACTTGTGAATCCCTACCTCCATTTCAAAGGGGAGAACACACACACCAGATTCAATTCATAAACATGGATGCTTAGTTTTGCGATACAGAAAAATTACATGGATGGAATAAAAAACTTACAGAATAGTCAATCATGTTATTGTTTAGCTCAATAACCCTCAAGGTAGAATTTCTCTTCAACAACTCTGCAATTTCTTTCGCACCCTGCACAGGAACACTGAAAGTATTTAGGAGCATGAAACATAATAAAAACTATTGCGACTAAGTAAAGAGATAGATCATGTAAAATACAACATGTGCTTAGACAAACCTCGTCTCCTAAATCAGTACTGTTTAGCTGAAGTATCTCGATGCTAGAATTTTCCATCAATGTAGCACATAAAGTCTGTTCATTACAAAATAAAAGAAAACCATATCACAGAAAGAAATATAAACGTGGAGACTAAGCTCTGTGTGATTATTGAAGCTTAGTGCTAGTAATTCCACTAACCTTAACTCCTTCATCACCGATAGGGTTTCCAGAGAGGTTAAGAACCTTCAACATAATATTTGACTGAAGAACACCATCAAAGGCTTTAACTCCTGCAGCTGTAATCCCATTTGCAGAAAAACTGACATCCTCTAAAGTCTGAAACACCATATGAGAATAGATACTCAATCAACATAAGAAGATCATGACGCTAATGAAGTTGGCAGATAAAAGATGTGAAAGAGAGAGAGAGAGCTTTAACCTGATTATACCCAAGACTTTCAGCTAAAAAGAATAAGCCTTCATCTCCAAAGTTGCATCCTGCAACATAATACTCAATAGTGAGCTACATTAAGTATTATCAACCTCAACCATATCTCTTTAAAACAAACAAGTCAATGCACCTGACATGTCAACACTTCTGAACGCTCTAAGTTCTTTTGCAAACTCATTAAGCCTCTGCTTAGCCTCCCTATCAACCTTTTCAGAAAACCCTTGTAACAGATTAGTACCAGCACCAAACGACCATTTCACTCCCTGTGTTGAACCTTTCCCTTCTCCAACAGAACTCTTCGGAGACGACTTTGGAGACATAAACTTCTCAACCACTTTCCACAAAACTGTCAGCTAAAATAAAACAAATTAGTTACAAGATAGGGCCATAAAAAAAATCAATACTTTAAATGCATTACCGAAAGTGACGACAACAAATGAGCCAACGGGCAATACGGAAGAAGCAATCTGCTGAAATTTAGCATTAGGAAACCCACTAGCTGATGCCTGTGACTCCTTGTAAACCCTACGCCTCGAGCTTCCCTCTGATGAAGCTCTGATCGCCGAAAGTTTAGGACTTTTTTGAAGAAACACCACCGGAGAAGCGAACAGTCGGTGGCTAGAAACGGACCGGCGTTGCGATTCGAATCGTGACCCGGAAGAAGTTTTTGGGAGAGAGTGGAGATGGAGAGAGCTCGCGGAAGACGACGCCATAAAAGGCGCGAACTTTACAGCTTTGAGAACCTAATAGGAGACTGGAGCGGCGAATTGGAGAAGAGGAAGAAGAGAAAGAAGATGAAGATGAAGTTAGTTTAATTCGCGCTATGCGCGTGGGTTTAACCCAACTTGAAACCGGGTTTAAATTAATGACCCGATAGTCTCGAGATTGAGACAAGGTAACTTGATATGATCATCAAGTTGAAGTGTATCTACTTTGGGGTTGTTAACATGAAAATAAATAAAAAAACATGTGGACTTAAAATAACTATCTGTTATTGGTTGTATTGACACGTTTTCCTTCCTCCTCTTCAGCTCGTTCGATTTTGATCCGTGATGGCGGCGTTCGCTGGAATCACGAATTCGAATCCAACGTTTCTTCAGCTAAGGATCTCTTCCACGAGTTTTCGTTATGTGGCTCCGTGTAATTCTATTTCATTTCCTCGTTCTTCGTCATTCGTGAATCTCAATAGGAGAAGCCGTCTCTATGTTCGGTCCAGTTCAGCTTCAGGTTCGATTTGATTCACGAAAGTACTCTGCTTTAAGAAAGTGTCCATTTTTATTTGTTATTGTTTTGATTTGCTTAGAAAGTATCGATTTTATATGTAATTGTTTTGATTTGCTTAGAGATTTTTATTCTTCCTGCAATGTTTCTCTGTTATGCTTTTACGATCTTAATAAATAAAGGTAGAATCTTTGGTTTTGAAATTGATAACTTGTTAGGTTGCTTATGTCTATGAATTCTAAAATCGGTAGAGATGATCTCTGTGATGTATATATGTCACCTCAGTGAGAATATATTTGCGTGTTTGTGTATTCAGAAGTGTACTGAGTTCACGAGAATCTTTTTTTTTGAATTTATCAGTGGCACCTGCAATGGAGGGGCTTAAGCCAGCGATATCATTGACGGATGGTGCACTTAGGCATCTGAATAAGATGAGATCAGAACGGGGGGAAGATCTGTGCTTGAGGATTGGTGTCAAGCAAGGAGGTTGCTCGGGGATGTCTTACACCATGGACTTTGAGAACAGAGCCAACGCGAGACCAGATGATTCCACCATTGAGTACCAAGGATTCACTATAAGTAAGTTTATTTTGGATAATCCTTAATAAGGTCCCAAGAGTTTGGATCAGTTAGTGGTTTGATGATGTAGACACGTCATGTTGCATATGAATGTCTGCGTTGGTGTATTGATGCATGCATCCAAATAAAAAGTCCTGAGGTCTGAGTGACATTCAAAAGATGAAGTTATTTGGCTATATTTTCAGAACATATTATAGTTTTAGACTGTATGTCGTCAAGTATGATGGTGAAGGTCAGTAGATACTTCTGATGTGCAGCTTGGATCATTGATCAGACTAGTATGATATGCCTTGTGATAGTCCTCGCTTCTTGAGTGTATTTGTTGTTTGCAGTCAAAGCCAAAACTCAGGTTTTTCTTTTGCAAACATTTTATTTTTTGCAGTTTGTGATCCGAAGAGCATGCTCTTCCTTTTCGGAATGCAGCTTGATTACAGTGATGCTTTGATCGGTGGAGGCTTCTCTTTCTCGAACCCTAACGCTACACAAACCTGTGGTTGTGGAAAGTCTTTTGCTGCCGATATGTGAAACAACATATGTAGTTACTTATAGCTAATGAAACGTTCTGTATTATGGCTGTCGAGATTACCTCCAACCCAATCAGAAACACTCTTAAGCATTTTCATCTGTGATGATCAGAACCAAATTTGATATTTATTTTTTAAACACAAAAAAATTTGATATTTCCTTTATGTATGTAATGTGTACTACAAGATAGTGTCAAAGATTATCACAAGAAGACTGCAACCAGTTCTTGCCATGATCATAGCTGAAAATCAATTTGGGTTTGTTCCGGGGCGAGCAATGGGAACAGAGAACTTTGTAGCACAAACCTTTTACTATTGAAGCGCCTTCTATATTGTGCATCAAAGCAAGCAGCTCCTCATAGACACTGTTGGACTCCTTCCAAGACTGGTCAATATTCTACAGCAGTAGAGAGAGCTACATGATAACTTAGCAAACGCTCACTCCTACTCGGACTAACTGTGACTGGATTGCAGACATCTGGACACTACCAATTCCTCCTAAGCTACGTGTCTTCCTATGGAAGATTGTTAATGGGGCCATGCCTCTAGGAGAGAATTTGGAATCGAGAGGATTAACTTCTAGCTCAAATTATGTTCACTGCGGCCTGAAGTACAAGCTCTATTCAACAAGCAGACACCCTCAGGAAGCTACACTCCATGTTCAAGTTCAGGGCTTTACAAATATCATACTCAAGTCAGACGCTCACATTCTTATCAGAGCCATCAACGGAAGAGACTCAATCAAGGAACTCTCTGAAACTAAACAAAGTGAAATATCATAAGAGAAGAAAGACCAATAGAAAGTGTATTATTATATGATGATTTTGCAACTTTCCATATATAGAAATAGAAAGAGATAAATTAGAAACGACATCTCTTATGTCAATGACACCAAAGAAATATTAAATGAATGGAATTAAGATATGGATGGAATATAATGAAATAAAACCGCTTTGAGGTTTCCTATAAAATGAGGCATGGAACGGAGCCACTACGTTGTGACCTCTTTGTAATTCATGGAATTGCTTGTAAATTTGGAAGATAAATTCACGGAACTGCAACAAGTAATCAATTGCTTTTATGAGTTCCTGATCTCATAGTTTGTCAAGAATTTTATAATTTGATCATATTCTCTTTGACCAAATTCACAAGAAATTTGTACATGTGGAAGATCAATTAGCAGGAAAATAGGTAAACATGAGATTTCCTCAGATCAATACATATGTTTCCGCATAAACTGCCCTTATTATTTTTTTAAATTTACTTTTATTTTTATTTATTATTTTTAGATAAATATATTTTATACTATTATTTGTGAAGAGAATTTTCTCATTCTAATATCGAGTTAAAAGTTAGAATGATTAAAATCCTTGTTTTTAATGAATAATTAGTGTCTGAATTTAACACCGTGTTAAATATCCATTGTCCACTAGTTATTCATTAAACTCAACAATAATTCGTTTTTATATCTGATTAGTTATATATTAAAAGAACTAACTATTCATCAAGGTTGCTAATAATTTTCTAACAATATATAAACTACTTTAGATAATGAGAACTATCAGATTATTTGGAAATTCGTTTTTAATATCTGATTAATTATATATTAAAAAAATTATTATTCATTAAGGGAACAATGATTTTAGTCATTCTAACTTTTAACGTGAGAAATCGAATGAAATATTTCATTTAACAAATAATAGTATATATAGATTTATCTAGAAATAATAAATATAAATAAAAGCAATTTTTTTTTTAAAAAAAAAGAAGCAAATTCTGAGGAAACATATGTAAAATATTAAGTAAAAATTCATAGATATTAACATAGTCAAGCTCGTTATGGATGGTTGGTCCATTTTCTTAACACAGTCAATAACATATCAGTCCGAACTCTAATATGTTTCAAGAAAAACAAATAAATATGTAAAGTTTGTCCATTTTCTTTACACAGTCAATAACATATCAGTCCGAACTCTAATATATTTCAAGAAAAACAAATAAATATGTAAAGTTACGCAAAATCAAGTTTGATCTCCTAGTTAAAATTAGTCATTAATTCTTACCTGAAAGGTCAAGACTGGACTGGCGCATGAAACTCCACAAAGAGAGAGTAGCAGAAGTGATGTCGCCGTTGGAACGTTTTAACTTTGCAAGATTTTATTTTCTGAACCACAAGCATATAGATCGGGCCTGTTAATGTTGTTCTTTTATTTTTTAACTAAAAGCTTTAAATTTAAAACATAAACTAATCTGTAGTAGCAACAATCGGGTATGTTCTTCCAAAGGACTCAAACTAGAAGAGTGGAGATTTCTGGAATATTGAAAGATCTTTCTGAAATCCACAGATTTACAAAGAGTAAGTAATCATCAATATGCTAAATTTCTCTATGAATGACCCATTGACGAGTGGGTCGGTGAGAGATATGGAACATAAAAGATGTCTCTCCAACCTTCTTGCAAGTAATCTTACAACTCATGCCCCAAATCTTGTTTACTACAGCATGAACATGTGGGTTCAAAGTATCTTGGCAGCATTTAACAGCACCAGCAGTTATGGGGCCAATTTCTTAGAATCAAAAATTTAAAAGAAATACAAAAGTAAAAAGAGAAAAAAATGAGAAGTTGTAAAACGAGAGTTGATAAATCTATATTATTAAAACTGAAATATCAATAGAAATTTTTTGGAAACATGGAAAACAATATTACAAATGAGTATGTTTACAAACATTGATATCAGTGTTAAAATATTTTAACTGGTTTTATTATTCATATCATATTTTTGCTTAATAGAGTTTGTCTATTATTTACTAAACAATAAATACTTAAGTATGATAAATAAATTATGAAAAATATATGTACATCTACCAATTATGTATATGTAACTAAATGATCATATTTACATCATACAATATGATTTGTAAATATAAATAATATGAAATTCATTATATGATGAAAAATATAAACTATGGAACATTTAAAATAAAATGCAAATATAAATTTATAAAAATTAATATCTATGATATAATTATATTACAAAATGGTAACATATTTAAAATATATAATAGTCACATGAAAACATAAATTTATATATATATATATATATAAATATAGCTCTATTATGAGTTAAGTTGTCATCTTTCTCATGACTCAAATTCTTTTTATTTTATTAACTATTTAGAGTATTTGCATTTCATACACACACAAAACCTCTTATTTAGTTTCATATCCTATTTTTCTCTTTTATCTCCTCCCCCCCATCACTACTTTTTTCCCGCAAATCCCTAAATACCTTCTTCTTTTGGTATATTGGGCTAAATCACTCAACTATTTAACTAATATATGCTATTACTAGTTCGAATCTGAAATGAATCTTAAGGAAAATAATCATAAAATTTGGAATGATACTCTTATTTGAGATGATTTATAATATGCTTATTAATTGAATACTAGGTGTTTTGCCCGCACATGCGGGCTTAATTATCTTTAAATCAATTTAAAAATAATCAAAATAAATGATTATTTACATCCAAAAATTTAACCTAAAACATTGAACTTTTTAACATGATACAAATTAAAAAAAAATCTATTTTTTCTTTTAAACTTTAAAAAATCTAAAGTCCATTTCCTTTCTTCTTAATTGATAAAAATATAGAAATCTATCTTTCAATTTAAAAAATTGAATCGATAACTATATATTCAATAATTGATCTAACATAAAGAATATTATTAGTTTGGATAATAATAGAATATATTTAAAATTTATTTTTGTCAAATATGTATTTTCTTTCTTTTTAAATGATCTTTTATTTTATTATGATTAATTCATGTTTAAGGTTTAATTATATAAAATATAAAAATAAATTTAATTTAATGTGTGAGTTCAGAGACAGAAATTAACTTCACAAATATATATCGTTATATTATATTATTATATTCTTTTAATTTGTAATAATTACGTATTATAATATTTTAAATTTTATATTTTAATTATATACAATCAAAAATTTTACCTCTATAAATATTTATTTATGTTTTTTATGTTTTTGAATTTTTTTATTAAATATATTTTCCAGATAACAACACAATATATATATGATTATCTTTTTTTATTTTTAAATATATATTTAGATTATGGATAATTCTTATCATTATTACTAATTTAAATAATTTATCTAATCTAATAAATCTTAAATTTGTTTTTATTATTGGCTGATTTATATATTTATTCATTTAGGGTATAAACGATATTAACTATTCTAACTTTTAACGTGAGAGCTCCGTTGCGAAAAATCATGTCGCATCTTTTAATTTGAAAATAATTACGCATTATAATTTTTTATTTTCAGTTATATACAATTAAAAATTTTACTTTATGAATATTTATTTAGGCGAAAATAACTTCACAAATATATATCGTTAAATTATATTATTATATTCTTTTAATTTGTAAATAATTACGTATTATAATATTTTAAATTTTATATTTTCAATTATATACAATTAAAAATTTTACTTTATAAATATTTATTTATGTTTTTTCTGTTTTTGATTGTTTAATTAAATATAATTTGCGGATAACAAAACAATATATATAGGAATTATCTTTCTTTTTTTTAAATATATATTTAGATTATGGATAATTCTTATCATTATTATTAATTTAATTTATTCATTAAGGGTATAAACGTTATTAACCACTCTAACTTTTAACGTGAGAGCTCCGTTGCGAAAAATCACTTCGCAAATAATAGTATAGATATCAGGTTCTTAGGATCAAATGAAATCGTCA